GCCCAGCCCCCTTTTCAATGAAGCAGTAAGTGCTTTTTGCCTCACTTCAGGGTTGTAATTGAAGACATGCAATTAATGGTGGAAGGGGTGGGAGATAGATAGATAGATAGATAGATAGATAGATAGATAGACAGACAGATAGATAGATAGACAATCTCTCCTACCATTTTGTAAATATACACACACGTATTTCTGTGTGAATTATTATATATGTATTTGTGTGTGTATATATAACATATAAAATATACATGAGTATATTTTATATGAGTATATATGAGTATAATAATATAATAGGTTAAATGACTGTTTCCCCCCAAAAAAAATCTCTTACTGAATATAAAATTATTTTTTAAATAAGGGAAATTTTTTACATGAATTCTTTTAACTAAAGTTGGAAATTTTTTCCATGAATTCTTTTAACTAAAGTTTAACTGTGTTCTTACTTTGAAAAACTTTATTTCTGGTCTTCAAAAGTGTATTTGTGCCCAGATAACCTATTAGGTAATTGAAATGCCAGTGGTGACTAGGGCATTTGGTCTTCCTGAGTGATTTTGTTGGGTCAATCATTTTCTTCACTTCTATTGACTTTCACTAGCAGAGGTTGGGATTGCATTTTTTTAGAGAAATTGTGAATGTTCAGAATAAAACTAACATTATGTATATGTATATATATATGTGTATGTATGTATACACACACCCGCACACACACACAACCACAGTAGGTTGTGAGTGTCCACGTAGTGTAACTGGTCATGTACTACAAGTTGCAAGTACCCACTGGATAAAAATATGTCTGAAAATATCCTTTATGGGAATCACTTTTTAATACCAATAAAGACATTGAAATATACTAGATGTAGTGAACAGATGTACGTTCTTCTACTTAGACATTTGGACAATTTATCCAGGTAAAAAAACTTAAAGCAAGGGAGAGAAATAACATAATGACTACTACATAGTAAACACTGAATAAATGAGCCAATAATTTTTGCGTGCTTCTAAGATCTCATCCAAACTTTTCAACAACCTGTGAGGTAGGGCATGTTGCCATTTTAAAAATAGGGAAACTGTTAACTTGCCCAAAGGATTTCAAACCTAAACCTATCTAACCTCAAAGTTATGATCTTCGATAATTTAAAAGCAATTATGTGAAGAAGGAAAGTACACTTTTCAAGTAAATTCAAGAGGGATATAGAGCTTCTATCTGATTTGTTATATGCAAGAAAGAAAGAGGATTGTATTTACCCTATTTGATTTGTCATATGCAAGAAATACAGTAATGAACCTTAAGTTGCTGAGAAAAAAATGGGAGAAAATAGCAAAATCATTTGTTTCCTAACTACGAGGAAACATTGCACATTGAGTGGAACACCCCTATCAGTGGACTGCCCCTTTCTCAAAACCTTTATAGAAATCTTAGTTGATAAACATCAGTGAATTTGTCTCTTTTTCCATTAAGCTACCATTTGTCCTCTGATAACTTTTTCAACTCGGGAGGCTCAAGGAAAATTTCATTCTTGAAAAAATGTAACACAATGGAACATACAACAAATTTAAATGTACATCAAAATCAGGAGATCACATTGTTATTAATAAAAAACCCTGTTTATAAAATAATTTTGTTTGAAATTAAGAAACAGATGTTGCTGAGGAGATTGAAGAACCCAAGTGTTTTCTCTTTTCCCAGATTTTCTGCCTCAAGCATCAGACTCACTGTATCTTTACAATGCAGGATTTGGGGAGTGGTGATCAGAGAAGACCAGTTTTGATAGAGGTGATAGAAATGATCTAAGACATTTCTGAGGAGGAGGTAGATGGGGGCAGTAAGTGGCGTGGTCCTCCTTCCAGGAGACCCTGGGTGCAGGTAGGGCTGGAAGACAGCTTTCATATTTAACAAATTCAACCAAAGCAGAGAATAAGGCTACTTCCAATCCTACCTTTATAATTAAATATTGAATTATAATGTAGCTTTTATATCCTAATTCTTATTCATATCTACTTTTATATACCTTATAAAAGTAGGTATATCTTACTACTTGGTATATCTTGGGAGCACGTTCTACAAGAAAATGTGTATTTTATAGGACCTGCCATAACGGATTTATTTTATTGTAATTGGTAAATAAGTTACTGTTGGACTAATTTTCTGTTATAAATCTTATCTGTGTCATAAATTTTAGGCCAATGTTCCATGTTAATTTTTAACTTTTATCATTTCAGTTTACTTTTAAATACTTAATAATGTTTCTAATTAGAATTATGACAAATCAAGAAAATGGATGGACATATATTGCATTCAGTAAGTGAAGAGTTTTTATTTATAGAATAGCAAGAATTCCATTAATAAGTTAATCAACCAGGGAAGTTTTTTTTCTTTTGGTAGAAATTGTATAATTAAAGGATCTTGAATAAGATGTAAGAATTCAATAAGTTTAAATTGGATCAAGTTTTAGATAAGTAATTATAGTAGTAATAAAGAAAAATGAAATGTTTCTCAAGTATATTTTTTGAGTATAATTTACTGCTTTTTACTTTTTTATGTCTTATTCTTATTTTATCATATTCTGGAAATTTCTTTAAGGTCAGTACTTTATATATTCTGTTAATAGATATAACACCTAGCATATAGCACATATTTAAAATAGACTGTTAATAGCAAAACACATGGAGTTTACTTTAATAAGCACTGTGTGAAGGCTGACTATGATGGAACAAATATAGCTTATAAAACAGCTTGGAACCAACATGTGTGTTTTTATGCATTTTTGTTTATTTTGTTTTAGATTTACACTGAATTTCACCCTAATGCTCTTTACCGCTGAAAGGGTTTTGTTAAAATATTTGTTAATCTGGCAAATATTTATTAAGTACCTACCGAGTGCCAAGTATTAAGCAAAGGGTTGGATATAAAGTAGTAAAGAAAGCATATATAAGCGTGACTTTTCTGATTCTTAAAAAATAGTGATTGATATAGTTTTAAGTGTGAGCATGCAAAGGAATATATGATTACAATTGTGATAAGGATTGTAATGGAAAAGTAGAGAGGATGAGAAAGGATACAGAGACTTACTTGAGATCAAATTAGGAAAACCGTCTTATAGGAAGTAATATACAAATTGAGATCTGAAGGATGGATAGAAATTTCCAGAACACAGGGTAATGGTTGAAGTGGTTAGAAACCATAAGGAAATGTTGGCCAAGATAGTAAATCTTTATTTTATTTTAAATTAAAAGTCATTTTAGATACAGAAGTACGTGATCCTACTATACTTTTATAAAATTACCCTTGCTGCCTTATGTGAGGTGGACTTGGACTTGGCATGGACTTGGATGGTGGAGGTGGAGACGGGGTGTGTGTGTGCGTGTGTGTGTGAATATGTGGTGTGATTAAGATGGATTGGATGGGGCTGGTGAGAGGGATGGAGGTTTTAAGAATGCCCTCCAGTTTGGGAACATGAGCAACTGAATAATTAGCATCACCTTTTCTTGAGTTGGAGAAATGAGATAGAAACAAGTTGTTGGAAGAATCAGAAGTTAAAATAGATTAGATAGATAGATAGATAGATAGATAGATAGATAGATAGATGTAAAGATATATATGTGTGTGTATGTATACATATAGTTTACATATATATATATATTTATTAATGTGGATATCATTGCCAAATAAATGGTATTAAAAGCAATGGGAATAGAAGACATGACATTGCAGGGGAAAAAAAAAGAATTACTCCAAGCTGAGCTATTAAGAGTTTCAGTAGTCGGTAGTTAAATAGAAGAAAATGAGACAGGAAAGAAAATCAAAGAGAGACAGGCAGGGGTATAGGAGAAAATAACTATCAGGTTGTAAGTCAGCAAGGCTAAAGAGAGAGAGGGGGAGAGGGTAGGGGAAGGGAGAGAGAATGAGAGAGGGAGAGGGAAGGGGAGAAAGGTGGTTAGAAATTCAAGTATAATATGGTCAGTTGTGTAAAAGGAGCACTGAAAAGTATTCATATAATTTGACAGACAGGGAGGTTATTGGTTGTCTGAGAAATGTAGTTTTTGGTGTTGTAAGGGAGGGAATCTGGTTAGAAAAGACAACTCTTTCAAGAACTTTGACAATGATTGAGAGAAGAAAAAGTAGATGATACTTTGATGGAAATATGGAGTAAAATACAATTAGTTGTGTTTGTTTTCAAATGAGAGTCACTACAGAATGTTTTTGTATGTTGTTAGAATGATCCATTAGAGAGGGATGCTGAAGATTCAGGGGAAAGAAATCTTTGGCTCCAGAAAAGATGGTTATATTAGCTTTTAATAGGAAGGTATTTCCACCATTATCATGAACAAGATGATGAAAAAGATAGATTCAGGACCAGGCACATTTACAGACTTTTTGGATAAATATGAGGATGTTTCTGTCAAATGGCTTTTATTTTCTGAATGAAAGGTGATGCAAGGTCTTGCTTTTTCATTGGAATCCACACAAAGGCATTCTGTTACAAAAGTAAAGAAAAGACCTAGTTATAAGAAAGTTTGCCTATGGTCCATTTTTGCATGGATTGCGTGTTTTATATAATTCAAAGACAGTGAAAACACCAAGGTTTGTAGTTTTATTTTTTGTGTAGGCTTTTATCTTTTTGCTCTGATAAGGGCATTTAATATCAACTCAACACTTACAGCACATAGTCAAAAAAAAAATCAAATCATTCTTTGCTAACCAAATATGGATATTAGCCATAAAAGATCATTTATGTAATTCTTTATAAATACAAATATGTATGATGTTTTGGCCCTTATAATTTAAATAGCTGTAGATATATTCTCATAGAAGATAATCAATAGCTTAAAATAAGAAAAAAGCAGTCTATGTATGGGTCTCTGATCTATGATTCATTTCTACACAGGAAGACCGGGTAAATAAATATTTTATATGATGTGAAAAAATTAAAATAGGGACATATGTTAATGTCTCATAATAAATTTTACTTTATAAACAAATATATCTACACAATAGGTACCTTTCAGAAATTTGTAATATAGCATGCTAGGTAATATTATCTATTCTTCTTGTAATCATGCAGAAATTACAGTAGCTTTTATTTTGCAGTTGGATAATCCTGAGCAAGAAGAAAATCTGTGTTGTTGTTGTTTTTCCCCCATATTTGGTTCGCAGAGCAACTTTAAATATCTTACAAGCTATACCTGAAAATTATTATTTAAATGGACTCTTAAATTTGAGCATCTGATTAATAAGTCTCCTGTTTTCTCATGGTTAATAACAACAATAAGGGAACCCCAAAACTAATAAAAATAATAATATAAGACAAAAACATAAATATCAAATACCTGAATGTATACATCTAAATGATCATTCCTATATTTGGTAAATTAATCTCTAATATGTTAGTGAAAAAGTTGGAAATCTTTGGTGTTTTCTTTCCATTTATGTTATGAAAAAGTTTTAGAGTACATTAAGAGTTCAACATGTATAAACAAGGATTAATTTAGCATATTTCACTTAACATTATTAACATCTATCTGCATTATGTACTTCCTTCAAATATTGCAATTTTGCCTTTAAAATCAGGATTCTTTTAGTTGCCCTATAGCTATTTTCTATAGGAAATCTGGTGGCCTGGACCATTTCCAGTGAGGAGATCCGATTTCGCCAGAAGCACTATTTCCCAGCACTCCTTTGTGGCAGAAGCTGGGTTCCTAGTGGAAATGATGCTGCTATTAGGATGATCTGAAGTACTCTGGAGAGAGACCTTCTGCTCAGTTACCCTTCAAGCTGGAACCTGCTATGACAGTTGTCAACAGTTGCCCTTTCTGATGTCTCCCAGTTGTGTTCCATTTAGAATAAGTACTTAAAGAGACACCTGCTAGGAAAGCCAGAACAGAGAAGCTACATGATTCTGGCAAACATATGTAGACAATAATATCCTTTTCCTACCTTGGGCAATAACTTAATAAAGCCTTTAAGACAACAGAATCTTAAATAGTCATCCTTTTTGTTGTTGATGAGAAGGAGGGATCTGGATACCAGCATCAAAACTTTATGTGCCTACAGCTGCGATCTGGGCACTGCCATGCTTGCCTGCTGCTATGACTCTCCAGCCATATGCTGCCATTTAAGTACAGCCTATGACTCAGGCTGCGAAGCTTGTGAAATCGGCATATAGGCTGCCTTCGCTGTACTCTAAACACCCTGCAAGGCAGATTTTTCTTCTTCCTATGAAAATTAAACAAGATCCTCCAAGTATCAAGCTTATAGATGGTATCTATTCTAAAAATATAAAGAGACGTATACTAGTCAAGAAGAGTGAAATATTATTTATTAATTATTACCTGGGGGAAGTATAAAGATCTCAAAAATTTATTAATAGAATGAGAAATAAAATGACAAACCTATTATAGGTTTCCAGTGAATAAAGGAAAATGATACCCCCAACAAGACATTTAAACACGACAGCCTAGGCATTGGAATCATTGAGCTTGGGGGGCCATGGTCTACTTTTCAGAATTTGGGAAGTGTTTAAATGAAAAATTAGTTTCAGTTTTCCAATAGAGAAGTCTTATTTTATGTTTCTGTCTTTATACTCAAGAATCGTAAAATAAAAACGTGGTAGTGCAGATGGATCTATAGATAAAAACAAAGGTAAAATAAACTCTTCATTCCCTCAAATATTATATTTGTCCTTTTTCTGTTATCTGATTACAGATAAAGTATAATATCCTGAACTGGATATAGGTCATACAAGTGACAATGACAGTTTGTACTTGGCTTTCCGACCTTCCCTGACCTCCAAGTTAAGCGACTTGCCCCCAACCTTAGCTCTGTCGGCCTTGCCTAAATATTGACTCCTGTTGTCCATATTGGTCTGGAGCATTGTTGGGTTTACTTAATTGCTATTCGCAGTAAAATATAGTATGCACAGAGCAAGATGTGGTTCTTGCCTAGGGGGAGCTACAGTTTATTCATGAAGCCAAAAATCATTTGAAACTCGAGGAATTACTTTACTGGTAAAATTTCAGGCACTGAGTGATTTCGCAGAGAAAATGAGTTTTAGCCAAAGGGCCTGTCTAGTTTTCCTCGAATTATACCCATATAAGGGCTGCCTAGTAGAACTTTAAGTACATCTCTAGTTTATGTGTTCCTGAGATTGACTGTTTCATAAATGAGTACTATATCTTCTATACATTTCTTTCTGTTAATTCTTAAAGATGAATAATTAACACTTTTGCTTCAATATTTAAAACTGGAAAAAATAATGGCTTAAAACTGAAATGCAGTTTGCTAGTGAGGGAATTTTAGGATTGAAGGGTATTCATTAGATTGATTGAAGTAGACAGTAGGCAGTAGTCATTTTGCCTATTTTTCCTCAAAGGACAAAGAATATCTCCTGTCTCACTTTGTACATGCCCCATCTTTCGGAAGAAATATTTTTCTCAATGTTTCCTTTCTCTCTCTCAATCTCAGTTCCTCATCCTTTTTTAAAAAATGTAGCAAAACCTCACCTCTTAAAGACTGTTTCATGTAATTATATGGCACTGATTACTAAAGTACTCTTCCACACGGTTTTACTCAGAAATATATTATTTTTCATTCATTGTAAAGTTGCTTTTGAAGGGAGATGATATCACAGCACTTGGTATATAAATATATTGCTTCTTACCATATCTTATTGCAATTATTTCTATTTCCTCTACTATACTGAGATCTCCCCCAAGGTCAATTACACTGTTTTTGTATTCCTGGCACCTAGTTATCTAGTTCCAGGCACATAGTGTGCCCTTGATAAAGGTTTGCTGAGTGAGAACATTAATGAATACAGAAATGCCTGTTGAGTGATTCTTCAGTTTCCTTGTCCTCTCTTCCGCCTACCCCTCTTTATCACTGCTCTAAGTAAAATGTCCAGCATTGACTGGATTTTTTTTAACTTCTCAGAAATAGCTTTCAGCTTCCTAAACAGTAGTTATTCCATATCAGCAGAGTGGTTAAAAGCATGCTCTCCTAGCTGGATGCCCCTGGGCAAGATACTTAACCTATCTGTACTTTTGTTTTCCTACAGATAAAATGGAAATAATAATACCTATCTAGCTCCTGGGATGGTTTTTGGATTAAATAACTCCATACATATAAGGTACATAGGACAGTGTGGAACATGTACTGAGTGTTGAGTCAATGTTAGTAATTGTTATTGCCCTAACAAAAAAATTCACTGAGATAATTTGACATTAGAATGGATTGTCTGTTCCCTCCCCTGACAAAAAACTTATATTTTAAAACTTCATGATATTAGAAATAATTCTGATTGTTATAATTCAATAATTGGACGTAATTCATATTCACACTTTCTGTAGCATGACCTATCTCTTTTTTTTTTTCTTTTTTGGTGAGGAAGATTAGCGCTGAGCTAACATCAGTTGCCAATCCTCCTCTTTTTTGCTGAGGAAGATTGGCCCTGGGCTAACATCTGTGCCCATCTTCCTCTACTTTATATGCAGGAGGCCTGCCACAGCATGGCTTGATAAGGGGCGCATATATCCACGCCTGGGATCCGAACCTGCAAAACCCAGGCCCCCAAAGCAGAGAGTGTGGACTTAACCACTACGCCACCAGGCTGGCCCCCCATCTGTGTCTCTTTTGTTCATTATAAACTCCACTAGGATAGACAGAGATACTTTATAGGCATTCACGATGCTAGTTCATGGCAAAGATACGGACTTTATAATGGAAATTTTAAACCCACAATTTTCTTTTATTAGTTTAGTACAATGATTAATATTCCCAAAATAAACAAAGGAGTAAAAGCTTGAGCATCTCTAACCACAGACAGGCTTTTATTAGTGTCATATCAAAAGTCATTTAACTGCTATGTGGTTAAAACTGTCTTATTTAAACCAGGTTATGTCATAACACTGTTGCAGATAGGGTGAATAGTTCACACTGTATTGCATATTCAGTCGCTCATAATTAAACTTCACAATATAAAATTTCACTTTAGAGCTGCTTTAAACTTTCAATTGGCATAAGACCTGAAAATCTCTACGTGTGCAATTTGTCATTTATGAATGGGTTTTATTTCTAAAATGTGTAGTTAAGGTCAATTGTTTGACATTAGAAAGCCATGTTACTACAGCAACAATGTGTTTTAAGAAGTAGTTGGGTAAACAGGCTAGCCCACAAACAATTGGCCCATAAATTACCTCAAGAAAAAGTTCTGTAGAATGTTACTAATACATTACTGTTACGTGGGGAAATACTTTCAGAAGTTCAAAATGGGACGCTAAGATTGTCTTCCCCTCAATTTTGGACTTTAGTTTCCTTCTTCTTGTCTAATCTAATTTCTGTACAGGTGGATTCAAGCCTCCCTCATCTCAAGCCTATAGCTTACCACAGGACAAGGTAGGCGTCAGAATGGCTCTGAGAAAGGGGTTGTAACTGGAGAGGGAGAAAGAGAATGAGGTTGGCTTAGGGAAAACAGAAATGAGATTTTCTTTCCCATAGTCCCTTACAGCTACTCCTTTACATCAGTAGCCTCCAAAGTGGGGAGCACATTCTCCAGAGAGTAATTGAAATGATGCATTGTAGTATGGGAAAAAGTAGTAGAATCTCAATTTATTTTTTCTTAAAGAAAATAAATAAAATTTAACCTTCTAATATTTAACATATGGATTGAGACTTACCCCTGTCACCAAGGTCATCGTGGTCATCTACACCTTTGTGAGGTATTCTGAGGGAAGAGTGGGAGAACCATAATGAAGAAAAATGAAGAGTGGCATCGTTAGTCACACATTTGATTTCACTGTAATGTATCATGTTCCATGTGCACTCTTGTTATGTGAAATAACAATTATATTATTTCGTTATAACTGAGCTAATCCTCAGCAAGTTGGCATGTGTCCATTTTCAAGTGGACAAGGCACAAAACTGCCAGTTGAACATAATACAGGTATAAATGCAAGAAAACATCAGGAAAATGACATGTCTTCTCCTAGAATAAGTTTTATATCAAATACTTTATATTTTCTAAACTGATGATCTACCTTATGTGATAAGTCATACAAAAAACTGAAAATGTAAAAGACATTTACAATCAGATGTTACATCATCTATTATTAATTATGAATTTTACCCTAGGTTTTTATTGTGCCTTGATAGATAAGCTAACGGTGTAAATATATGGATATAATTGAAAGGGAATGGATACTCACATATAGTAGATTCATGTTTATATATTATTTTTTTAAACTTGTTGAAGTACAGTTTGATCAAAATAGTTTGAAACCACTGGTCTAGGTCACCATCCTGTCACCTCTTCCTTTTTCTTTGAAGACCTTCAATATCAATCTGTCATCTTCCTCTTCCACTGCTCCACTGTATGGCTCAGAAGTAGTTTCTCTCCTTGTGTGGCTGACTGTGGAACACAGCCCAATCTCATGAGCATTTCTTTTAATAAAATAGCCATGGTGTGATGTCTTGTTATTTGGGAGTTTGATTTTTATCTTGCTTGTAACAACTCACTTCATAGGAAGGGGTAAAAAAATAAAGATGAACCTTTAGATTCTGAAGGACTAAAGCAATATATTCAAAAGATCCCATAGCTTTTAGTACATGAGCGATGGAAATTAGGAAAAGAGCGGGTACTGAAAATGTAAGGACTATGCTCTAGGGAAGCCACAATGAAGAACAAAATGTGGGGTTACTCAGAGGACCAATTCCCCCGGTGATAATACATCTCGGTGAACTAGGACCCGAATCCAAAGGAAGTAAAGTAGCAGTTTCAGGGTATGGATATAGCCAGTAATGTTAGATAGAGTGTTGACTGGGAAGGAGATGGGCATACGACATGGAAATAGAGAAAGGAAGCAAGTTCCTGAGGCTACTTGTCTGTTTATTGGATACCAGATGAATTTTTATAAAACATGGACCAAGAAAAGACAGTGACTGGTCTTCTAACTTAGCTTTATTTCTTTGTCTTATTTGACCATTTTAAAGGAAGGATGGTAGAACAAGTATAAGTCATAAAGCTTAAGTTTCTATGAGAACTACCAGTGACTCAAGTTGATCTTGAGGCTTTTTGCTT